CAGCAGGGCCGGCCCAGCCCGCCGCTGGCTTCCCACAACTCTGAGGAAAACTGCGTGCGTGCGCTTGTGCACATACACGCGCTCATTTATATATATATATACACACACACAGACACACACGCGCGCACACACAAAGAGCTGAGTAGCGGCAAACAGTTTGCTAGGGATTTGCCACAGTGTCGTAGGAAGGGATTTGTCATCTTCGCCTCTTCCCCGTCGGCGCTGGCGGTGCCCGGCTGGGTGGCCTGGGCTGATCCCCGAACAAAGGCTGAAGCAGTGCCCCGACTCTCCTCAGATGGCCAGGCGGCGGGTCTCCAGCAGGAGAGAAGGAAAAAAGGACAACCCAGGATGATTTTCTGGGGTCGTGCCTCCTGACAGTCGCAGGTACCCTCCTAGTCAGGATATTGCTAAGCACTGTACAGAGTCAGGCTCGAAAAATACACCCTTTTACTCCGGTTTGAGCTAGCAGGCTTAAGAGGGTTCAGGCAACGGCAGTGGGATCTGATAGATTCTGCTTAATTAGCTTCTGTCTGTCCAGTACAGACAGGACCATTGCTTGGTGAGGAAACGTGGTGGTGCCTCTGCAGCCGTTGTGATTTTGTGTCTCTCCAGCTGCCCAAAGGCCAGGTTGTGGCAGTATCCTTTGCCTCATTGGTTTGTGTGAGTAAGTGTAGACTAGAAGAGCAGTCAGCCCCCAGGTTAGTCAGAGACGCCTCCTGCAAGTACCCTGTCTGGTGGAGCCCTGTGCGTTGAGCAGGTTGGCTTTCTGCCTGCAGTCCTCAGTTCAGAAGTGGGATAAAAGGGCTGTGGACTTCGGAGCCTTCAGGCTGAGGTGATCATCAGCTGCTTTAAGACCATCCTGACTGTGTTTTCCCCATACTTTCATAGCAGAGCAGACCACTCACTGTGTGGCAGGGTCTGATGAAGGTCTCGGAGGGTCCCCATGGGTTGTGACCTCCAGCGTTATTCCAGCTGGAGGTCAGCAGAGGGCTCTAGCAGTGTGGGCCCAGATTGGCTCTTTTTTTGTCACACTCGACTTCAATTTCTGTGACTTTATTGGTGTGACAGGCTGCATGTGCGTTGCCAGAGGTTTGTAGCAGGCTTGTCTTTGGGATAGGTGTCCATTTTGTATGGGCAAAATTTCTGATTTGCTGGCGGGCT